CCCCACCTACAATCCCTGCCGGTACGAGACTCGAACCTGCAACCTTTAGGTTATGAGTCCAACTCTCTAACCATTAGGCCACGACTTCCCGTCTATTGTATATTTTACACAAATAGGTTGTGTGCCAAAGTTTAACACTTAGGATGTCTGTTTGAATCCATAAGCTCTAGCAAACACAATTAAATATCATAATTCAAACTAAAGTCTGTTCTGTTTTGACTTTTATTGTTTGTTCGTTGAACTGCACGCCTCAAAACACAACCTCGTTAGGACACGATGCAGTAATACATTCAAGCTCCTGCAGTCATGAATTCCCTTGTGTGACATGTTGTGTGACCAAACCAAATAAAAATGGAATAAAATACCTTGTGCCACTCGCCAAAGGAGGACAGAATGAGACCAGACAAGTGCTAAAAAATGTACATGCCTTCATGAGAATGCGAGCACAGTCTGCAGGGAGCAATCTAAAGTGTTTATTGTTGTATTTGTGAAAGCTATTACTGACAGGGCTCAACGGTGGGATTAGCCTCCAGCTCTAGCACAAGACCAAACCAACGAAACTCCCTCCCAGGCCTCAGAAAACTCTAGCATAATGGCATTCCCTGTGATGAGCAGCATTCGTCTAATCCGCTTGCTCGAGGGTTTTGGAAACCTTCACGAGTCACCTATCAAAGGAAGCGATTTAGCTGTGACGGGTACCTAACTCGCAAAGCAAAGAATCATCTGTTTCTGTCATGCACCGAAGTGCCACTGCACAAAAATAGGTAAATAAAATACAAATAAAAATAATCCTAGCTTCACCCATTCCAGGGGGTCCATTGAATCATTACAAAAATGTTTAAGACATTAATTTTTTTATTATCATAAACCGAAACGCTATTTTATTGTATATTGACACTAATATAATGTTCAAAACCAGTAAATTTTAGGTTAAAGTTCAAGTACTGTAGAGAGAGAGAGAGAGAGAGAGAGAGAGAGCTGACAGCGGAATTGAGGCTGTGCGATTACCTGGGTCTGTCTTTCTTCAGGTCAAGTCATATAATCATGAAAAAACATCAGTTTGCCATCAGCTGTCAGAAGATGAAATTGTTATCTTTGTCGTAGTATCCTTTCAGCACTTAAGGGGCATTGAATCAATGGCATTGATCTCTATGAAGTGAAACATCAGCTTCAGTGTTACCCATGTGATGCTCTGATTGTCGATTGAACCTTGCAAAATGGCAAAAGTTAAATTAATTTCAACACCTTGTTTCATTCATGAATGAATCAGTTTTTAAGCGTATCCGTTGAATTGATGTTTTTTAATGATGACTCCCTTGTAAAGTCAATCCATTGCCACCACCTGCTGGCGTAACAGTGACTGACATGTACATGCCTTCATGAGAATGCAAGGACAGTCTGCAGGGAGCAATCTAAAGTGTTTATTGTTGTATTTGGGAAAGCTATTACTGACAGGGCTCAACGGTGGGATTAGCCTCCAGCTCTAGCACAAGACCAAACCAACGAAACTCCCTCCCAGGCCTCAGAAAACTCTAGCATAATGGCATTCCCTGTGATGAGCAGCATTCGTCTAATCCGCTTGCTCGAGGGTTTTGGAAACCTTCACGAGTCACCTATCAAAGGAAGCGATTTAGCTGTGACGGGTACCAAACTCGCAAAGCACAGAATCATCTGTTTCTGTCATGCACCGAAGTGCCACTGCACAAAAATAGGTAAATAAAATACAAATAAAAATAATCCTAGCTTCACCCCAAGGGCCTAGAAGTAAACTGAAGCTATAAGCATAAAGAAAAAATAAATAAATTCAAGTATTTGAGTTACAAAAAATATAATAATAATAATAATAGTCACTCTACAAGCACTACTAATAACCAGAAACGTTTGTATTCAAAGACTATTGTGAATGCAGGCTATTCAGCATGAACACCATTTAGCAACTCTTTTTTAAAGGTAAACTGCTCAAATTAATAGCTCTAATTAAGCTAAAGATATGGTAGCTATAATCTGAGAGAGCTTGAGTCTCTCTTTGTTTAAACCCCACATGTCCTCCGGTAATTACTCCCCATTATCAGCACCAAACAGCCAGAAGCTTTACCAGGAAAGGAACCTGCAACTTGGGTGATATGAGCTACACACACACACACACACACACACACACACACACACACACACACACACACTCTCTCTCTCACACACACCACATTCAAACTTCCCAAGAAACAGCAACAAAATGCACACACACAATAATAACTAATCTTGCAAACTCAATGCACATCCACAAATACATTTACATACAAAGGCTTCTCTTGTACAGGGTACAATCGATCACATGACGTCATGTTCTTGACTGATCAATGATGCAAAGCAACTATATAGTGCAAAACAAACAGAAGGGGCCATTTCAGAACACATTTTTGTGATAAAAATGTGGAATAAAAAAATGCAAGGTCTAGGATGTTTTTTTATTTATTTTTTTTTTTAAGTTGAACTTCTTTTAACTTGAGCTCTGCTTTTTTAGAACGCTGATGATCAAATGTGTCCATCTAGTGCATGTTTACAGAGTACCTTCACCCAAAAATGAAAATTTAATTTACTTACCCTCAGGCCATCCAAGATGTAGGGGAGTTTTTTTTTTCTTCAGTAGAACAATAAAGAAGATTTTTAGCTGAAACTGTGGTCCTTGGTTATTCATAAAATACAAGTCAGCAACTACTGTCACTTTGAACATCAAAAAAAGCAACAGAAATTACGCAAAATTAATATATTAATATCAATGGCTCTTGATGATATATTGAGGTCTTATGAAGCGAAGCGATCGGTCTGTGCAAGAAACTGAACATTATTTGCAACATTATTACTGTAATCCAGAGACTTAGACAAATGGAGTGATGTCGGGTTCATAAACGAATCAATCTTTTTAAATGGTTCTTTTTGGTGAACTAGTTGAACCAATTCATCAAATCAGACTGAACCATCTGTTCACAGCTCAAGCAGCACAGATCTCAAAGTTACTCAATCAAAACTCACTTTCAGATGCCTGACAGTCACTCCGACTCGAAATGAGCCAAAATACCAGCTTATATGATCACATGATGCCGGTTTTTGCCAACACATTCCAGTTCCTCCAACAGTCACTGAACTGAGGAAAAAATTTGACTCGGACCGAAGACCAATAAGCCGTTTATATGTGTATGTGTGAACAGCACTTGATTGAAGGGGCAAAATGAACATTTTTATGGTTTCTTATTGTTTATGTAAAAAGGTGAGTTGATTAAGACTAGTTAATTTTAAACAGGTGAAACATCCATGTTTCACATTATTATTGGGTGCCTTATTAATATTATTGTGCACTCCTGACGTCATTGCGTGATTATGTAAGCGAACTGGTGAATCGGTTATTTGAATCAGTTCACTGAAACAAACTGAAATAATTGGTTCGCAATAAAGAATCAGATTTCCCTGTTTGCCTGAGGCTCTGAACTGCAGGTGATAATGTAAATAATGTTCAGTTTCTTGCACAGACCAATTGTTTTATAAGTCATCAATATATCATCAGGAGCCATGGATATGAATTTTGTGTTACTTGTGTTGCTTTTTTGGACTCTCAAAGTAATAGTGGTAGCTGTTGACTTGCATTTTATGAATCACCAAGGACCACAGTTTCAACTAAGAATCGTATTTAATGTTTTACTGAAGAAGACAAAAAGTCACCTATATCTTGGATGGCCTGAGGGTGAGTAATGTAACTGCAAATTTTCATTTTTGGGTGCATTAAAGTGTTAAACTCTTTGTAATTTGACATTTTCTCATAATTGTGACATTTATATTCACATTGCTTTATCCTTTGAACCATGTATAAATGCATCATCAATGATGCAAGGCAACTGTACAAAACAAACACAAGGAGCCATTTACACAGAATGCATTTTTGCTCTTAATGGAATGAAAAAAATAAATAAATAAATGCCA